TTCCCTACTTTGCTTTTCAACCTCAGCAGTACTTGCTACCAAACCCTGCTAACTTCTAATGCAAAACTAGGTCTGTAAAGCACTTGTGCTCCATAAAAGATCTTTCTGTGTTCTGCAGGGACACGTACAGCGACAGAAGTGGCAGCAGCTCCCCTGACTTGGAGATAACAGAGCTGAAGTTTCCATCAGTAAATCATGACTGATTCCTGGTAACTTCTGATGACCTCAACCTCTTTCCTTATGGAAAAATTTCCTTGCCCAGTCTTTCCTGTTGGAATCTGAATGTTTCACATGAGCTGGTAAAAAACAGACATGCCATGAAAAGTGCTGGTGCTCACCCAGGTGTTCCAGATGTGCTGAGGGATGCATAAAGCCTCATGGCAGTGTAGCAGGTGGGGTTGGGTGCTCCCTGAGCAAACCGAGGTGTAATAAAGTATTAAAATACATGTAGGGGTTTGAGATTAAATTAAAATAAAGAAACAAAGCACAAATACACCTCATGTTCCTGAGAATGGAGGCAAAGCTGAGCAAGAGATTATTGGATATAGAAAGCTTAGGAATTTGGGACCATTCACTCACCTTTGCCAAACAATCAGTTTGAAATAGCACTTGTGCACTCCCACAACATGATCTAGTGGGAGGTGTCCCTGCCCATGCAGGGGGTTGGAACTAGATGATCTTTAAGGTCCCTTCCAACCCAAACTAGTCTGTGATTCTATTCTATGATTAGCTGTGTTGCCCCACCCCTTGGGACAACAAATTTCTCTTGTTAAACCCGTGGGTTTCAGCTCCAAATTGGAACAGCTGCTGCAGATGTTACATGGATGTGAAAACTGGATATACATAATCCAAGTCTTGGAGGGGGATCACAAAAACCTGGTGGACAGATTCACCAGCAAAAAAGGTGGATTGAGCACTGAAATGGGTTCCCCTTTGTGCAGGAGGTGATTGTGTATGTGAAACTTTTTCCCTTTGCTGTGGCTGGTTTTGTGTGGTGGTTTTGGAGAAGTTAAGCATCATTTGTGCACATGCATGTCAAGTGAGAGCAGGGGTTTATTTCTGAATGCCAGGGGACCAAGGATGTCCAGCTCTTCCTCCCCCCCCCTTTCCTTCCTATAACTGATTCTTGCAAAATTAACTACAGAGTGAAAATGAGGGTTAGCTTGAGTCTAGCATGCAATGCTGCTGGGACTGGGCCTTTGCAGTGCTCATGGTAGCTGGGATCTCTGAGTTTGGGTTGTTCCACATCTGGTACAGCAGCAAAGAACCCTCTCCATGAATTTTTCTCCTGAAGATACTGAGAACGTTTGGCTCACGGACAGCAGCCACTGTTCTCCCTCATGTGACAAGTCTGGGTGCTGCATTGATACCTGAGGGCTTGGAGGCTGTCCCCAAACAAATAAACTGTAAACACTGCCATGTGTGGCACGTCCCGTGTTGGCTGACAGGCCTGCTTGGACACAGCTTGGCTCAGCTCTCTCAGTAGCTGCAACATTGTGGAGATTTCCCTTGGTACCAGCCCCCAGCTGTGCTGGGCAGGCCGTGAAGCTTCATCGTAGCTTAATGGTGCTCACTCCCTACGTTGTATTTAAACATTGACTTCTAGAAGGAGCTGCTTTCCCAGGGGTGTTATTCACTGCTCTCAATGTTCCCATCATGCCCCTGTGAAACTAAGGGACATCTTTTATCCTGGAAAAGGAGTGTTGTCAGGTACCATGTGTTAGTTTTTCTGGGGTGTGTATGTAAAACTCAGACTCTCTGCTGTTCAGTTCCTGTTGCTCTTGACTGTCAATAATTCCTGTTTCTTCTCTTTTTCCAGATGTCTTCACTGAAGAGGAGTCTTAATTAGATTTTTCAGGCGTTCTTAGAGCAATAGCTTGAACACTGTCAGCTTTGGGCTTTCTTAAATTATGGTTTTATAATTTTCATTATGAAATCCTGTCTCTTTTATTTCCTCAACTCTTCTGTCTTCCGTTTATTTTCTGCATAGATTCTTTCTGGAGGAGAGCTCATCACAGCAGATGCATTTCTAGACTTTCTTCAGTTAGTTAGCACCATTTTGGAGATAAAAAGCAATTTTGGGTTTGGGATTTGATGTGTTGGGGAGAATGCAGGTGCCCACTTCCTTCCTAACATGTGGTAACACTGGTGCCCATTTGTATCTTGGGCACTGACAGCTGAGTTGCTTTCTCCAGTCTTTCTGCTCCCTCTTTAGTACTTACTGGTGAAATTAGGTGGGTGATACTAGATTTCTGGGGGCTTGCTCAGTTCTTCAGCTGTGCTGTGCTGCAGAGGATGGGTCTGTTCAGCTTTATGCAGTTGTTTGGGTTTTTTTTTGTTGTTGTTTTGGTTTAGTTTGGGTTTTTTTTTTGGGGGGGGGAGGAATGACAGATGCAACACATTTTGTTCTGTTTTTTTCAGTAGTATTTAAAAACGTGGCACTGGTGTTCTTGGTGCAGTCATTGCCAGCAATGAACTTTTAACCAGAGAAATACTCCTGGTACAGAAAAGTTAACTTGGCAGATGATCAGCTCTAACTGTGATAGTCACTCTGCAGGGATGCACTGACTCAGATCATGTTGGGGGGAAGCAAAACCCTCAGGAAAGCCCATTGCTTCCTGAAACGAGGCGCTGAGCGGGCGCCCTTTCTGTGCCAGTGTTTGCTGGTGCTGCTTCTTGGGCTGGGAAATTTCAACTCCTTGCATCAAGGGGTGGGTACAGAAAAGAAAGTGAACTACTTTCAGATGCTGCCTTTAACAGCTCCTGTTGTGATTTGCCTTGGACTGAACAGTTCATGGTGCTTTTTCCTGTTGATTGGAAGAAGAGCCTTCCGTTGCCTTTTCTTACCCAGCGTCCCACTCTCACTGCACCCAGAGGTGCTGTTCCTTGCAGGAGGGACCTTGCAATTTGCCTTCAGTGTGACTGGGTTTGCTCTGCAGCCCTGGGCTGTCCTACTGTGACTGCTCAGCCTTGCAGTTCCGGGGGGAATGCACTTGCTTTTTTGGCTTTTCCTGCCCCTGGCTGCAGCGAAAGTGGCACAAGGTTTGGTCTCTGGTGATTGAGAAGAAAGGAAGAAAGTGTCTCAGTGTCTGACGTGTCTCTCCAGAACTTTGCAGTTCATTAATGCTGGGAGAAAGCTGCACGTCCTGAGCCTGGCTGAGTACTAACTCTGTGTTGTCTGATGCCAAACTTTACTGTCTCACATTAAGTGATCTTTTCCTCAGCCCCTCTTGCTTTATTCCTCCATTATTTTCAGTACGTGCTGTAAAGCTGCTTTTAGCCAGGAAGGTGTTGAGGATTCTTTGTGTGCCAATCAGAACAGTCCTGCAAACAGGATGGGCTGGGTCGAGGTGCTCTGTGCTGAACAGACACTGGGCATGACATGCCTGGTTCTCAGCAGTGTGTGAGGTCACTCCTGATCTGTAGCACAGTTTGTTTTCTTTCTCCTGGTATGGTTGTTTTTTGGGTTATTTTTTTGCCAAAACTGTGCAACTGACTCAGTCATCAAATGCTTATTTGTAATAAAATTAATAACTAGCCAAGAGCTTGCTTTGTTACTTCTGTAGCCCAGAGGGAGAAAAAGGATTGTCTAATTTAAAGTTGATCCACTGCAGGCTAGAAAACTTTCTTAGCTGTATTTGCTAAATCTGGTTAAAATGATGGGGCTTCCCCCCCCGCAGAGGAGAAGCCTGGGGACGGGGGGGTTGAGCCTGCAGCCTGTGCAGGGCAGAGGAACAGGGTGTGGAAGGGCTTGGTGCTGCAGCTGGGGAGCCCTTTCCTTCTCCCCTCCCTCTGCCCAGCGCTGGGACGCGGGGCTCTGCTCCCCTCGGGGCTGGAGGGGCCTCAGTGGCTGCTCATGCCATGAAGAGGGAGTGTCCTGAGCTGCAGTTACTCCCTCGGCCCCCTCGGTGCAGGGGGTGGTTCTGCTGCCCCGGAACAAGCCCCGCACCCCCTCCCTGCTGCCATCCCGGCTTCTCTCGCAGGAGGGGAGGACTCGGCTGCCCTGTCAGTCCTGGGATTCTCCCCCTGCGCTGGGCTCCTGTCACACCAGGAGCTGCAGCCCTGACACAGCCCTGGCCTGCAATGGGGGTTTCTGTGGGGATGCCCACCCTTGGCTGCTGCAGTTTAGCTCCTTAGCTGGGGCTGCAACTGCAACCAGCACCTGAAGTTAAAGACAGGGAAACTGATGGGTTCAGGGCCAGTCTGGATGGGGCTGGGAGCAGCCTGCTCTAGTGGGAGGTGCCCTGCCCACGCAGGAGGCAGTGTTGAAGCTAATTACCTTTAGGCCCCTTCCAGTCCAAACCAGCCTGGGATTCCAAGGCTCTATGAAATGCAGTGAAATTTTACATCTAACATGGGCCTCCATGGGGCTCATGGCTGGGGGGTGGGAGTGTGGTCACCACTGCCTCAGCTGCTCAGCCCCTTCCAGCCCAAAAGTTGGATGGATCCAGCCCCCACCCAGGCTCTGCTGCCTTGGGGTGATGGCAGGGGTGACCTCCCACTGCTGTCCCATGAGGAGATGCTGGGCATGGGGTGAACAGGCCTTCATGCTGGCACAGTAGAGCTTTGCACCCCCATCAGCCCAGGATGGGAGCACCACCAACAGCTGGTCCAAGGGTTCAGGTTGGGCCAGAGGCATCAGAACAGAGGTCCTGGGGTGCTCAGTAACTCCAAGGCTGCAGGAGAGGCCTGGGGTTGCTCCTCCCACCCCATCCCACCTGGTGCTGGACCTCCAACAGCACCCACCTCGCTGCCCTCTCTGGGGCTGCCTTCGCCAACCACCAGCATCTTCCTCTCACCATCAGCCCCTGAGGTGTCACAATCTGCTCCAGGTGCAAATGCCCTCAAGTTGTGCCAGGGGAGGTTTAGATTGGAAATTAGCATAAATTTCTTCACCAAAAGGGTAATTACACACTGGCACGGGGTGCCCAGGGAGGTGGTTGAGTCAAGTCACCATCTCTGGAGGTGTTTAGAAGTCCTCTAGATGTGATGCCTGGGGATATGGTTTAAGCACTAGACTTGGTAGAGCTGGGTTGGACTTGATCTTAAAGATCTTTTCCAACCAGAAAAACTCTGTGATTCTGCTCCCTTCCCCAATACCCCCCAAACCTCAGGCCAGGAACAAAGCACTGCCCAAGCCTCTGCCCACACCATGGCCAGTCCTGCACATCCCTGGGATCAGCCCATGCTCCTGAAACAGAAACTGGTGATGCTGGAAGCTCCGAACCAGCACAGGTATCATCTGCAGCACTGGAGCCCCTCTACCATGTGTGTGCTCCAGCATGGGGACCTGCAGGGCTTCCATGGCCAATATACTCCTGGGAAAAAACATCCTGGAGAGCAGATGGGAACAAGCAATGGCAGAGGCAGAGATCAGGAGCTTTGGGGGGGTCTCAGAAGGGCTGAGCATAGATGGGGCAGAAGCCAGTGCACCTCATCACCACTAACAAGCAGAAGTCCATCAGATCACAGGTGGCTTCTGTCATTTTGTTTTTCTCAGCCCAGGTCTGGCCCACCTCTCCCATGAAGAGCAGGGGAGGAGCTAGGCAGGAGCAGCCAGGGCCCCCCTGTGCTCCCCAGGCTGCCGGGGCCCAGCCAAGTGCTCCCATCAGTGCACACACAGCCACCAGGGAGCAACGTAGTTATTCTTTTATTTATAAACAAATCAAGGTAAAATAAGTGCAGAGGAAAGCACTGGCTGACCCCGTGTGGGGACCTGTCTGCAGTGGGACCAGCGCCAGGAAATGAGGGGCATCCAGGGCCCTGTGAGTAGCCAGAGCCCCATGTCCCTCTGGCCACACTGGGGCAGCAGCAGGGACAGCAGCACAGACTGTGCTGTACAACTTACTATTACTTTGGGGTATTTATTTTTTTTATGCAACTTTTCCCCTTAGGGGTAAACCTGACCCAGTGCAAGAGACTGGAGGGCTGTTCACCATGGGGGCCCGTCCTGCTGCTTGGCCAGGGCCCTGGAGGCTGGCAGGGAGGAGGGTGTGACATTGCTCTGGGTGCACAGCGGGTGGGATGATGGGAAGAAAGAAGTGCTTGCAGGGGAGATCCCTGTCCCAGCCCCTTGGTCACTGCGTCTGCAGGAGCTGTGGGTGCACGTGTGGCTGGGAACAGCCCTCACCTCACTGCAGCCCCTCCCCACAGGCAGCCCCACCCTGGCAGCTGCTGCCAGGCATGGCTGGGGCACCTCTGCACCCACAGCTGCAGGGTCTGGGACAGTGAATTACTGCTCAAGTGCCATAAGAATAAATACATTAGACTGTCTGAAACAAACAGGTGCCCCTGGGCAGGGCAAAGCCCCGGCAGGAGGAGCAATGCAAGGACAGGTCACCAGACTGAGACCCCCTGACTTGCCAGAGCCAAAACCACGCTGAGCTGGGACGGACCAAAACACCCGAGGGCCAGGAAGGGCCCCTGGGAAGATGAACCTTTGCACCTCTGGCTAAAAATCTCCATGAGCTGCAAGTTCAACAGGTAGAAAAATCATTTCATAATTTTAAACAGATGACTCCTTATATATATTAAAAAAAAAAACAAAAAAAAAAACCTGAAGCCAACAAACCCTCAAAAAATAAATGAGAGAAGGATCAGTCGAGTCCTGCAGCCTCCAACACCCGGCCCTGCCATGGCCACGCCAGACCCAACCCTGCTCCTCAGCTCCTCCACTGCTCCCTCCACCCTCTGCACGGTCCCCTCAGTCAGAAATAAATACAAAGGCCTCCCCCTCGGCCTGGCACCCTCAGCTGGAGGGACCCGGGGAGCTCCGGGGTGGCCCCCGGGATGGGCAGCCGGGCTCCCCGGGCATGGAAGACAGGGATGGGGCACTGGTTGCTGTGAGCTTGGCACGTGCTGGAGGGGCCGAGTGTGGGTCCGGGGAACCATCCCCCCCACGGGCTGCCCCGCGGGGCCC